ATCAAAGCCCTTTGTCGGCAGCCCCGTTATTCCTCGTGGAATGAGGTTTACCGGGGCTGCCGACAAAGGGCTTTGATGTCGACAGGGAGAACGTCCAGACTGATCAGCTGTTTGTCGGCTCAGCGCGGCAGCCATGTAAATGTAAATGAAGCCACGATCATTTAAATCGCGGCTTCATTTACCTTTGCTGAATAAACAAATCTACATGCCTCTGCCGACAGAGGCATGTAGTGTAGACGTACCCCAAGGGAAAGGGGTGCAGGAGAGAAATGCCAGGGGGTAAAGTGCAGACAATGAGAAAAAGGGCAGGAGGGGAGGTGTCAGTGGGAGGGGGGATAGGGTGATGCTGGGAGAGGAGAGGGTAAGAGCACTGGGGATTAGAGGGGGGAGGGGGAAGTGCTGGGAGAAGGCTTGAAAGAAGGGGTGGGGATGGAGCAAGGCATCTGTGAGGGCACAGGGGCATGAGGGGAACGGGGACAGAGGGTGGTGAGGGGGCAGGTATCAGGGAAAAGGAGGCCAAAGGGGGTAGGGGCAGTGAAGGAAGGGGGAGGCACCAAGAGGGTGCAGGTGCCAAGGGATTCTGGGGGTGAAGCAGAAGGGCAGACACCTGCAGAGGAGGGACCAGCACCGGAGGAGAGAGGTAGGCAGGTGTGTAGAGGGAGGTTTTAGAAGAGGGGAAGGGCTGGTGGAGGGGGGCAGGTTGCAGGAGGGCTGAGGACAGTGAGAAGAGCAGGAGTCAGGACAGCAGAGGAGGGTGAGGAGTGGGGGGGGGGCAGCAGGCACCAGGGGAGCTGATGGAACAAGGGGAGGAGATATGGCAGCAGAGAGAAAAGGTAGAGGTTTAAGATTTATTAATAACTTTGATATTCATTAATAAAGTATTAGTAATTACTGTTCTTGGAATTTATGCCATTAAAAAACACTTTGTGGGGGAGGGTAACGAGTCCCTTTTTTGTCTGGTGAGTAGGTTTTCCATAATTTGTCGACCCCTGCAAATACCCATGGATTTGCAGGGCTCTACATAACCCAAAGTAGTGAGATTTGTATGGGGGACACAGCACAAAGAAAAGACACACTTCTTAACACCAATCTAGTAAACAGAAGCTTGTTGTGAGAAGAGACTATTCCCACTCCTGAATGGCTCACATATGGAGACCACTTAAATTTCTAATGATGTGGCCTGCAATTAGCATGTTTAAATAGTTCAGATTTCATGAAGTCAGTTAGGCACAAAACAGTGAAAACACCACCTCCTCCCCTCCCCCATTATAATGCCTGCTCACCTAGCTGTTTTAGTGAGAGATGTAACAGTCGTTGATTAACAGAAACAAAAGGTTACAGGTTAATGGTATAGACTACATGCATTCCCCTGCCCAACCAGTACATTTTTTTTAGCAGGCTGGCCAGCAGTCCTGCTTACTTCTAGCTCACACCAGGCCCAGGACCTATCCCTGCTGCTGCTCTGCATTTAAAGTGTATTACAAGACAGGCAGCTCAGCTCAGCTCAGTTCAGTTCCAGTTTGGGCCAGGTCTGAGAGCTCAGCTCTCTTCCACCCACCACCCCAAGACAGGAGCTGCTGCTGATTAACTACTATTTAACATGCCTAGTTTTAGTATTAAGGTAGAGACTTCAATCTAATTTTAAAAGTTAGCTGACCTGTTTAAATCCTCAGAACTGCACTGGGAATTTCAACCACTTACTACTTCACCGCGTAGGCAACTTCCAGTACTCTTCCCACATCCCTCCAGTTTCACTATAATCCAGAAAACTGCTCTGAATGGCAGGGAATCACGTTCTATTCATAGTAAGCGGGGAAGACTTTCAAGCCAAATTTTGTAAAACTACTACCGTATATTCCGGCGTACAAGACGACCTCTGATGTTAAAAAACATCCCCCAAAAATCGGGGGTCGTCTTGTACACCGGATGCCCCGCCGCCGGAGCCCCTCCACGGCTTTGAAAGCCTCGGGGGAAGCCGGCGGGGGGGGGGGGGGGGGGGGGGGGG